TTGTTTAATACGGTGCCAAGTTATCGCACCACCTTCTTTATTAACTACAAAAGAATTTTAATTACTCTTCGTCATTAATTATTAACATGTGGGATCAAAGCTGCAATGAAGTTGGAGTCATTAATTTGGGGGGACAAAATAAAGGAGCTCCAACTCAAACAAAACTTACACAGTGGTATTACCATTTTTCTGTGATGTGTATGTAAAAAAAAAAAACCCACAGTGTGCACAACAAGCAGATTTGATGTTCCTAAAGTGTGAATCACAGCTTCAATAACATCATGTTTATGTTAGAAGTAACAGGTAGAGGTTTTCTAACAACTTGAATTTTAATATTGATGCACTCCTGCATCACAACAAGTGTCACATATGCTTCTGAGACGGAGTGCTGACAGGACTCCAACAGAGAACTTTGAAACAAACTGAGAGTTGGCACAGATACTGCAAGAACTGCCAACACCTTGATGGGCAGTCGAAGCACAGAGCCTAAAGGAAGAATATGCAAAACGTGTTTACAAACAGAGCATGTTTTTCTCCCTCCCCTGCAGGGGGTGCTGTGAAAGTAAGTCCAATCGCCTGGTCCTTGGGTTGAGCATGCTGGTATGATGTTTTTGCTTTATTTTATGTGAGTCTCCTCCTGAAATTTTGACAATTTTTCCAGGGAGAAGAAATGCAACTTCAAACCCATACTATGTACCGTGAACAATGAACTGAATCCTGAAAGTTTTGGCAACCACTGATCTTGTAACATTTGGGAATTGAACCAGTCAACCAGTATTATTCTTGCTGTAAGGAAGAAGCAGGAAGTACTTTGCTGCAGAGCCCGTAGCCAAAAAAGGTGAAAATATCCATTTATTTTAAATTTCGATTAATCACAGCGTGGCTGTAGAACAATCACAGTTAATTGTGATTTAATCCTAATTATAGTGAATCATTGAGACAAATCAACACTCCACAGCAGTTTTTGTTTGTGACTAATTCATATTATAGAATTGTTTTTGAGGAAAATGTCACAAAAATAGTCCCTCGCAATCCATTGGCCAATTGTACAGTGAGTTTCTAAGATGTAGTGTAACTATGTTGTGCTCTGTGCATAAATACAGTACTATGTACAAAGTATGTATTAAGAATTTTACTAGGAATGCCAGTATATCGTTCACATAAATACAAGACCAAGCTAAGTCTCACAGGCTTTGGAATAGATATATTTATTACTAGTTTGTTACGTTTTTTATTAGTGTTATATTGTACTGCATATGGCTGAACACTGTAAACTGAACCTAATACTGGAAAGAAAAAATACTTTCATTCCTTTGGTTCTCAGCTCTCAAAGCTGTTTTGCTGCTCTCAGATCACAGTGATTCATCCATGACGGAGTATTTTGAAAAGATTTAAGCTCCACCGCTGATAACCGCATCACTTCTTTAGACAACCACTTCCTTTGAAACATATAAACAGTATATCCTAATACAAAGGGCTGCTGCTGGAGAAAATACCTCATGTTCCTCGCTGCCTGTTTCAGCTGCTCCCATTGGATTTCTGTCTACGTCAAGCGCTGGACACCAGATAGACGCAGAGCCTCAGGCCATTCAGGCCAAATCAAACATGGCACTAACAAAAAATGAAAACTGATTCAATGCAGGTCCGGGCATGACACATATACATATATGTAGCAGCTGATGAGATCACCTCTGAATTGATGCTCTTTTCTGTCTGCTGTGTTGTAAAATATACTATAATACTAAGTCTAAAATAATAATAAAAAAAGAAAATTGCAGTGAATTGATTCACAGCAACATGACCAGACTTGCACAAAGTGAAGTGATTTCAATTATTGACTGAGGATTGGAAGGAGTCCAGAAATGCTAAATGAACTGTAACTAATTTATGTGATGATGTGAATGTGGACAGAAATGATGTAATGAACCTCCTAGTTAATCCCGGTGGTGCGATAATATCTGATTCCTTAGCTTACATATATTTACATCATATAGGAGATTCATTCATGCCATGTTTTAACAACCTGTTTCTATAGTCACCTCTTATTCACCCTAATTCTACATGACGGATGGGATTTCTGAGGCCTTTAACCTCTGCGGATCATTGCCCTCCTCTGGAGTCATTAAGTAAAACATACAGGTTGTTGTGTGAGTCATTGACATTTCTGGATGACTGAGAATATTTACAGACATTTTTCCAGCAGGACCTAAAAAAGAAAACTAGCCCGGAAAAAAAAACCCTAATCTAAAGCCATTTTACTTCTTATATATTTCATGCTGACAAGCATGAAAACCCAAATTACACGGCATTACTGAGCAGTTTTATCAGCATTTACCTGGAAAATAAAGATCCAGATTTGAATTTTTACCATTTTTCATTTACTACTAATTGTATTTTTTTGAGAGAATGTGAGAAAGTATAAAAGGAAAAACGCAGCACTGCAACAAATTTGAATAAAATATTTAGCATGTGCCTTCCTACTCTCTGAATAATACAGTGGATTAAATTAAGGTTAGTGTGCATATTTGTTCAGGACAATAATAACAGGTAAAGCAATGTTCATTTTTAATTTAGTAAATACTACAGTAACTACTATAATAAATATTGCTACCTCATTACTGTGGTGGAGGCTTCTGATTCTAGTCAGTGTTTCACCTGCTGACTAATTATTCTGGAGACTGCAGGTGTGACTGTTTGATAAATATATGGAAGATTTGGTAAAAATGTGACCTTTGGCTAATAAAATCTTCCCTCACAACATGTTATAATTGGGCGCTGTTCTCCCACCACTGGGAGAACAATTAATGATAACAAGCCACAATCTTTGTCCCATAACAGTAATGTACTCGGAGCTGAGTTTCATACAAATACATATGCAGTGAATGGACCATACAGCGCATAGATCATTTACAGTAATAAAAAAAAAATCACTATAGTAAAGTAATGAAGCCAGAAAAATTCAATTAAAGTTTATGGAAAAATCTAAACCTTGTCTGCAGGGCAGCCATTTTGTAGATAGGACAATTTTTTGAAATAAGAAGATCGTTATAGTTCATTACAAATATCTTTGTTTGGTTGTGGGCCATGGGATTCTTCTAATGTGAAATATTAAAAGGTTGGGAAACACTGCTCTAATACACAGGTTTTACCAAAGAACCAACACATCAGTTAGTGATTAAACAGATTAATCGACTACTTTGCGATTAATCAGATTGAAAATTTTAATTGTCTGAAGACATTTTTAACCCTATATCATTTGGTTTGTGTCATTGATTAGATAATAAAAATATTGTACTTGGTCTGGTGGGTAATCTCAGTGAGTGGTAGTTTATGTCTTTTTACGTACTTCCAAAATCGAAACCATGCTTTTATTATGAGTTCGTTTTAGGAAATGACAGTGTAATCAGACAGATGACTGCAGTATCCTCCAGTCTTGATTTCAGTCAGAACACAGTTGACAACAAACAGCTCAGCCCATTAATAAGACTTGTCAGGCCTTTGGAGGACAACCTGAGACAGGCTGCAGCGTCCATACAAACTAATCACACGGATTGAGACCTTTGGAGCAACGTCACAAAGTCGTCTGGAAGAGCACAACAGCAAGACTTTAAATTCACCTCCTGTTGTCAAAAATGTAAAATAACAGAAAAAATCCAATGAAAGTGACATTTTACCAGTGGCGCTGGATGCTCTACATTCACAGCGTGTAAATTCAACACGTTAAAAATAAGAAAGAGTCGGTCGCGCCTCCTTATTCTGCTCCTCAGGAGTTTGTAGAGCACGGCTGCTGCTGCAGTATAGCTATGCTTGAGGAGTCTGTTTTTGGTTGTCAGCAGCATTTCCTTTACTCCTCCATAATTCATAACTCTGTCCTTCACTTTCATATAGTTCTACTTGAATGGGAGTCAAGCCTGGGCACATAAGACAAAAATAGATTGTAGTACCGAGCATCCTTTCGCCGTACAACCTCCCCACTTGTATGGATTTAAACCTGACTCGAGCGACGTAAGCCCAGGCAAATCTCCCCAATATACTGTGAAGAGGTTGTTTGCAACAAATAATGTGATTCTCAGCTTCTTATAATGGAGCCGTGGACTTTGCTGTTTACAGAACGTGGCCTCCATAAGAGTAATACTGCTGCAGCTGTAACTTCATTTTCTGGGTTATTAAATGTTTGACATTGAGAGAAATTTGACAATTCACATATTGTGTTTTGGAAATATACTAAAAGTTTCAGAGGTGAAAAAACTAGTTTTGAGGTAAAGATATCTTATAATTATGATTCCTTATCTTATAGTAATAAAAACTTGTATTATCTCATGATGAAATCTCAGAATTGGGATATTCTGTCAATAATGTGATAGTATTTTGTTATAATATTGAGAGGGGAACTCATATACAGTCTCAGCGTTTTCAACCTTTGGGTCACAACATCATGTGGGGTCACACTGATTTCAAATGGGGTCACCTGGAATATCTAGTTATACATTAAGAAAAAAAGACTGCTAAAGCTAAATTACTGCTAAAAATATTTTTTTCAATTAATTATTATTCATTGGTAATTAACAATTCACAATTAATACAATCCTGAAATAAACTGAAAAATCCATCACAGTAAAAAACGCAGGTGTGGCCCCAACACTTGCTTGTAAATAACAGTCCCAGTAGATTAAAAAAAATTACAGATTTTAATTTATGTAGTGCATCGTAGTTTGTTGACTTTTCTGGTAATGGTGTTTGTATTTATGAAGGAACAACAAAAGCCGGGTATTTGTGTTTCTGATAAGATCTGAATTCATTTCTGTCCATCCAGTCTCCAATTGATTTCCTTCTCTTGTCTTGTTCATAAAAGTCAAAACAGTGTTTGGTGCCGTAACATTTGGAAAAAGAATGCGTCGGTGAGACATAATTGTTTCTCTCCAAAAATAATACAAAGCCACAGATGGTGGGAATGTAGAGAGCAACAGTTCATAACTCTGAGTCGGCTTGTTTATCTTACACCATATAGGAATCTCTGTGAAGGGCAAAGGTCCTGTCAGTCTGAATGTGCAAACTCTGTAATTGCATGAGTCCGTCTCCTTCAAGCAGGTCGAAAATATTCTCGCCTTCAATATTTCAAAAATGCTAAATGGAAAAGGATGCTCAGATGGTGTCAGTGTCCAAATAGCTGTCCCTCCGTCTAATAAGAAGATGAAAGACAATTTCCCGCATCATGCCAGGAAGATGGCCCTATCTATTTCTTGTTGAGGCATTTATCTTAGCACCATTGATGAATTCATTATGGTGACAATCCCTGTCGCTATAATAAAATGCCATCCAAAGATTGGTCCCAGGCTGAATTGGAGAGCAGCGATATCTACCCCACCGATTGTGAGGGGCTTTTTCTTCGTGGGAGCTCCATCGCTCTCATTCCCTCTGCTCATATTACTCAGTGCCGTGTTGTGTCTGCGACCACTGAAGGTCTGTCCGACGTGTTAATGAGTGTGGAGCATCGCCCTCCTTTGGCGGCCTCCTTTATTTAATTGTGTCCTTTACAGTTTTAGACAAGGATAGGAAACTTTTATTAAGACTCGTTAAGGGCTAGCCCTCTATCATTAGTGCCAATTACATTTTTAATGTCAGCATAGTTAAAGGTTAAAGTGACTATTATTTTAAGGCAGTGGCAATTCCTTGATTTTTTTTCCAACCACAATATTATTCTTTTTTACCTCTCTTAAATTATAACTGCTTATGAACTGTCATGAATCCTCCCATAAACATTGATCATTTGCAGTATTTATTAGGGATGTGCTGATACCCATGCCAGTTTTGGGTCTGATACTTATGTATTACATTCAACTACTTGTTCTTAGTCAATAACTTGTTGATCCACCAACCTGATCATTCAGTATTACGTGTTTTCCTGCTGCATTTCAAGTGACAAGTGAGTGTTGTCATTTGTAATGCACCATTGGTGCAAAAGCTCTGCTCACTTTCTGTTGGGCTCCCTGTGTAACCAATGCAGAAATTCTATTTATCTTTATTTTAAAATTTTATTTTGAGTTTTTTTTTTGTTATTGATTTTCTTGTTTCTTCTTGCTAATATTCTGTTTGATCTTCGTCTGTAATGAGAAGAAAGTAAATCTGACAGCTAGCACTTTCCTGCTTAGTGTCCTTCCTGTTGTTTGGGTTGAGCTCACACCTACACACAATGCTTCTTATATAACACTACCTTCCAGTTGTTTGCATATTTATTGAACCCTAACATAAAAGAAGTATCAGTGCCGGTGTGAAGTATCGACAAGTTCCCAGCTCACAGTATTAGAAGAGACAGAAAAGACACTGATTGGATAAAACATAAGTTTCATTATGAAGACAAATCTGTATAGATGATGTAATTGTACAGTCTCCGAGAAGCTGTTGGCGCCCCCTTATGCCGGCTGCTGTAAATTTGATGGCTTGTGTGTCACTGGATTATCTCGCCTACACTGCCTCCCCTCAGGCTTTCATTGTAGGTCTCTGACATGGGCACGGGCATTTAGTGTGACTCCCCAGTGTCAGTGGCAGCACAGCAGGACCATGAAAAGCTCCAGGAAACACCATCCATCATTGTCATAGGACCAATCATCCAC